TTCTTCTTCTTCTTCTTCTTCTTCTTCTTCTTCTTCTTCTTCTTCTTCTTCTTCTTCTTCTTCTTCTTCTTCTTCTTCTTCTTCTTCTTCTTCTTCTTCTTCTTCTTCTTCTTCTTCTTCTTCTTCTTCCTCCTCCTCCTTAATAATAATAAAGTTGGAAGGGACCTTGGAGATCATCTAGCCAACCCCCTGCTCAGGCAGGAAACCTTATACCATTTCAGACAAATGGCTGTCCATTCCCTTCTTAAAAACTTCCAGTGTTGGAGCATTCACCACTTCTGGAGGCAGGTTATTCCACTGGTTAATTGTTCTAACTGTCAGGAAGTTTCTCCTTAGTTCTAGGTTGCTTCTCTCCTTGATTAGTTTCCATCCGTTGCTTCTTGTCCTGCCTTTAGGTGCTTTGGAGAATAGCTTGACTCCATCTTCTTTGTGGCAGCCCCTGAAATATGTCCCCCTTCATCCTTCTCTTCATTAAACTAGACATATCCAATTCCAGCAGCCGTTCCTTATATGTTTTAGCCTCCAGTCCCCTAATCATCTTTGTTGCTCTTCTTTGTACTCTTTCTAGAGTCTCAACATCTTTTTTACATCATGGTGACCAAACCTGGATGCAGTATTTCAAGTGTGGCCTTACCAAGGCATTGTAGAGTGGTATTAATACTTCACGTGATCTTGACTCTATCCCTCTGTTAATGCAGCCCAGCAGTCTGTTGGCTTTTTTGGCAGCTGCAGCACACTGCTGGCTCATATTTAAGTAATTGTCCACTAGGACTCCGAGATCCCTCTCACAGTTGCTACTATTGAGCAAGGTACCCCCTATATTATACCTGTACATTTGGTTTTTCTTGCCTAAATGTAGAACCTTACTTTTTTCACCATTGAATTTCATTTTGTTAGATAGCACCCAGTGTTCAAGTCTGTCCAGATCTTCCTGTATCCTAAGTCTGTCTTCTGGAGTGTTGGCTATTCCAGCCAGCTTGGTGTCATCTGCAAATTTGATGAGTTCCCCATCTGTCCCCTTGTCCAAATCGTTGATGAAGATGTTGAAAAGCACTGAGCCCAGAACAGAGCCCTGGGGCACCCACTACACACTTCCCTCCATGTAGATGTGGTTCCATTGAGGGCCACATGTTGAGTACCGGCCGGTCAGCCAGCTACGGATCCATCTGATGGTGATGCTGTCCAACCCACATTTTTCTATCTTATCAAGTAGTAGGTTGTGATCTATTTTGTCAAATGCCTTACTGAAGTCCAAGTAAATTATATCCACAGTATGCCTGGTATGCTGTGACAGTCCACAGACCAGGGGTTGGGGATCCCTGATCTATTGCACACCTAGCTGCCAGGAGCAACATGGCTTACTTGATTTTGATCTCACATATATACGAATCTGATTTATAAATGAGGCATCCAACTGACTGCTCTCCTTACACACAAGATTGAACTCATTAGAGTATGTTGATTAATTAACCTATATTCAGGATCAGACGCATCTCGCACTCATCTATTCATGCAACAGATGATTTTTCTAGGACAGACACTCCCAATCATAGACAACCGAACAAGCTGAAATTCAGCAAGTACAGCCTACTTTCCTTCCAGGTTGTAAAGTCTATTTAAGCATTCTACTGAGGACTTAGTACTAGTAAACCACAGAAAGCGTACTTCCACTGCCCCCTTGAGGGAATTGCAAGTCAAGACAGCCCAGAACAGAACATGTAAGTCAGTGGTTCTCAACCTTTTTAATGCCGTGACCCCCAACCGGTCATAAGTCGAGGACTACTCAACCAGTTGTAAGTTGTGGACTACTCAACTGGTGCAGCACCATTTGCAGACTGGGACTTTTGGCGGGCTCAGCAGGGCAGAGACAGCCTGGACAATTCCTATTGGCTTTTGAAAACCAATAGAATTAGACTCTATTCAAGAGAGTCTATTCTATTGGCTTTCAAAAGCCAATAGAATAAAAGGGAGTAGCACAGCTAAGGAAAAGGGGGAAAAAATGGTGGACTGCGTTGTTTGGCGACCCCCATGAAATGGTCGTTCGACCCCAAATGGGGTCCTGACCCACAGGTTGAGAACCACTGATGTAAGTTTTCATCTTATGGGAGTATGGAGGGTGTCCTGGGCAGTACAGTTCTTTGAGATTTACCTCTGCATTCATAGAAAGTGCGACTACATTGGCGAATGATTTCCAACATCACAGATGCTTGAGTTGGTGTAATTTCTTTCTCTTTTATCAGCTTCCATTTTTGGGGGGGGGGGCACCAAACTACAGTGAGAAAGCCAGATCTTGTTTGCTATATGCAGAATATCTTCAGCATTTCTTTCTTTATCTTTTATTTGTTGATTAAATTTGTATGCTGCTCATCTTCTCTGTTAGGTTACTCTGGGCAGCGCACAGGCTATAAAATACACAAAAATTAAAATATATTAAAATATTAAAATGACAGATTAAAATTTTAAATACTATACAAAAACCCAAATTAAGAGATGGACAGCACATGGATGAGGTCTTTTTTAAATTAATTTTTAAGTATTAATTACTGGATAGCATTAATCCTGTAAACATATATTCAAGTTACAATATATATTGCAGAGTACTTCAGTTTTGTAAGGGGAGGTTTCATTTTAAAATTACTAAAATCAAAGCCTTTCCCACAACTTGAGCAAAACTCTTCATGATTACATGTATGTTTAATGCAGGGGTCTTCAAACTTGGCCCTTTTATGACTTGTGAACTTCAACTCCCAGAATTCCTCAGCCAGGCACGCTGGCTGAAGAATTCTGGGAGTTGAAGTCCACAAGTCATAAAAGGGCCAAGTTTGAAAACCCCTGGTTTAATGGGTTACCAGTTTTTTTCTGATATTTTTTTTTTTAACTTCCCTGGCTTGTCTGCGGCTCTGAGTTTTTTAAAACAGCCTATATTGGAATAAAGTTCAAACCACAAGAGCACAAAGCAAAACCTGCAGGCAGGACTTAGTGTCAACATTTTGTGTCAAGGGGTGATAGCTTTTGTTTGGATCAGTCTTCTGGTGAAAATAATGGTGTTTCACAAACAGGAATTTCTCTCTGGTCAGAAGTCAGACAAGCAGAAGAGTAATCTGGTTGAGTTGGGTTTTGAAATCAGAAATGCCATTGAGAAAGACACTAAAACCCAGATGTAAATAAACAGCTTCACATTTGAAGTACTCATGGTTGTCAAACGAAACATCAGATGGCTGCAATTTGTGAGCTGACATTAATCTACCATGTCAGAAGCCAGATGGGAAAGTCAGCAGTGGCAATCATGTTACTGCTGGATGCTGCAACTGTTATTAAGACTCTTTTTCATTTATATTGTATGAAGAACGTCTAAGATAGGCATCCTGCTTTAGAAGAAGGAACCATTGTTGCAAATGTTTACGCCACAGTAGAAATATCAGCCTTTCCGATGCCTCAAGACTAGTATATTTGGACCAGTGTTTTTCAGACCTGGTAATTTTAAGAATGATGGACTTCAACTCCCAGAATTCTCTAGCCAGTAAATACCAGAGGTGTCAAAGTGCCAGTCCATGGGCCTGTTGTATCACGCAGAGGCTGTGCCCACCCCAGCTCCAGCAATGCAAAAAAAGTCACGATACATCATGACACGTCACGTGACAGGTTTGACACCTGTGATTTAGACTAACCCTGTTCCAATATCTTCCTGCTTTGTTCAACCACAGGTAATCCTCAATTTATGACTGGCCACTTAATGAGCCTTTGAAGTTACAACAGACCTCCCCAGAGCTTCTTATGACCCATTTGTGGACTTATGACAGCCACCCATACGCCCAAGGTCATTTGATTGCATTTTGGGTGCTTAGCAAGCAGCTCACCTTTACATCCATTTGCAGTTGAAAATTAATTTATGAACACAGAGTGATTGGGCTCCGGCGCCAAGCTTCTTCTGAGCAAAATGCAGGGATTGCTCTATACAAGCAGTCTTCAGTTCTTTTCACACATTCTACACGCATACATGGGGGGGGGGCGGTGGCTGTGCCTTTTTAAGAATCCTTTGGGGGCCTGCTTGAAATCCTTCCGTTCCTTCTTGAGCATACTCGGCTCAAATCATTCCTTCCTGGATTACTTCTTCTGCCCTGACTTGGATCTGCCCATCAGAACTCTGGCCTCTCCATTTGCCACCCCTGCCCCCAAACCCAGCCAAGGTGTAGCTTCTCTAAGCAACTTGAGACACACCTTCTCTTCTCCTTGCTCCAAGGTGCTTCATTTCCATCTTTGGCTACCTTGGGACCTGAGTTCCCCATCTCAAGGTTGGCAGCGTTCGAATGGGTGGACTCCAATTTCCAAAATTCCATCAGCCTGCCAGCAGGGGAATTCTGGGAGTTGAAGTCCACATATCTTAAAAGTTGCCAAGATTGAGAAGCCCTGCACCTGTAGTGTTAAAACTCAGCTGCTAAATAATTATTCTGCGTAATGGTGAATCAGAACCAAGAGCGAGACTGTACAATATTTTCATCAGTCGTAATCTTGCAGATATACAGATCTGTTTAATTTACATGCCCCAATCACTCCATCTTCTCAACTTCTTTTCCAAAAAGAATTCTGGTTTGTACTTCACTCCTTCAGAAGAAAAAGTTGCCACATGATTCCTGTGCATTGATCAGGGCCAGACAGAAGCAACTGCTGAGGCTCCTCTGCCAGAGATGTCTTCAAACGTGGCCCTTTTAGGACTTGTGGACTTCAACTCCCAGAATTCCTCAGTCAGGCTGGCTGAGGAATTCTGGGAGTTGAAGTCCACAAGTCATAAAAGGGCCACGTTTGAAGACCGCTGCCTTAGGTTGAACTCCCGCCCTGCCCCTTCGAAGGCAGAGGAGCGCGGCCCGCCGCGAAAAGGCGCTAATCCTTCCTCAGCAAGTAAAGGGTTACGCCAGCAGCAGAGCAAGGCAGAGACAGCCTCCGCTCTTTCCGCTTCCTGCTCCGGGATCTGAGAAGGCGGGTTGCTGCGATCTCGGGTGAGAATCCGGTGGCGAGAGTTCTGCAATAATAATCTCGATTAGGAGAGGTGGAGGCGGGCAGATGATATGCTTTCCAAGTCATCGTATAACTGCAAATGCTTCTTTCGAATAATTCTGCGTTTCTAGCAAAAGAGCGGGGAATTCTGGCTAGAATGTGCGAAGGACCGCAGCTGAATTGCATCCAGTCTCGCTGCTATCCTGGTCACCCGCAGTGGCCAAAACAGTATAACTTTCCATTTCCAGGTAGTAGTTGATAAATCAGCATTTCTGAAACTTAGCGACTTTAGGACATGTGGACTTCATTTCCCAGAATTCCGTATGCTGGCTGGGGAATTTTGGGTGATGAAGTCCACGTGTCTTTAAAGTCGCCAAGTTTCAGAAATACTATGATATATTGTTTTTTAACTGGAGGGGGGGCTTTATTTGCCCGTTGTGATGGCAGTAAGTAATTGATCTAGTCTGCCCTCAGTTTGTCAGTGTTCACTTTGGAAGCCATGAAAGTGGATGCCTGTTGTATTACTTTTTTAAAAGCAAATTCCATTAAAGATAGTTTCCCAACTTGGGGTCCCTTTATGGTTCTGGGACTACAGATGCTTAGCCAGCTAGGTGACCAAGAGATAACAGTTATGGGCCCATTACCCACAAATGAAGCTGGCATGCTGTATTTTAGGCACCTCGGGGCAAAGCCAGTTCTCCCTTCTTGTGGGTTGCTGATTTTTCATTGCTGTGTCCTTACCTTTCTGTTTATTTTATTCTAGTTTCCTCTTTGCCATAATTTTCCCCTTTAGAACTTTGGATAGGTAAATGTGGAGGAAAACCTCTTGCCAGGATCATTGTTTTGCTGAACTTTTAAGGGAAAAGGTTACACCGGGAAGGTGAAAAGGGGTTCTGTTTAAATGGAATAGCTCTGAAACTGGAATGTGGCTGCTCCATATGAGAGATCTATGTTGAGTTAGGCAAAGGGTTTTTCCCACAATCTGGTTCAATAGCAGTCATCCAGGGGCTAAAACAGGTAGTCCTTGTCTAGTAACTGCATTGTATAGTTGAAGTCCTCATGCCTTAAAATTGTCAAGTTTGGGAAACACTGCTGTAAAGCAAAGGAAAGCTGGTGTAAGATTGTAAGCAGTTGCAGTTTCATTTAACTGCTTTGCTTAACAACTGAGTTGTCAATCTCAATTGTGATCACTAAATGAGGACCACCTGTACCAAGCTTCTTTTTTCTTCTTGGATAGCCAATAGATGCTTTGGGATCCATAAGTTTGTGGAATTATATTTTGTATTACTTTTTTAAAATATTAAAATCCCAAAATGTTGTAACTTTGGCTTTGGAATTGCTGCAGTTTTTAACTATTTGACTTGCCCTTTTCTGCATTTTTTCTGCTGGTTTGAAAACAAAGCTATGCACTTAAGTATGTTGAACCCCATTTTAGAAGGCCACAGTGGTACAGTTGTATGTTACAATATGCTTGTGTCTGATTAGAAGTAGCCAGCCTTGCCATATTCATAATTTATGCATGGTTGATTGATTGCTAGGACAAGACTGAGCTGGAAATATTTACCTATTTGCTGAAATTGCCTTTGGGACTTTTCTTCCCCCCCTCAGCCATCTACTGCCTACCCCCGTTTCTTCTCTTCTGCTGCCCACGATGAAGAAAAACCTACGGAAAAGCCAGGATGAACGTTATCGCTTGAAGTTCCAGCGTCTTTGCCGTGTGGCCAAGGTGCTGGTTTACGAGAACACAGCCTTGTGTGATGAGATTGCCCGGCTGGAGACCAAATACCTGCAGGTACGTGAAGAACGCCGCTTCCTGCTTACTCGCCTGTTGCAAGCACAAGCTCTGGCTGAAGAAGACTCACCCACACCAGCTGTGGCAGCCAGCCTGCAACCATCTCCAGATGAGCCAGCTACTCGCAAAATTCGCCGGGAGCGCAAAGGCAAAGAGAATGGCCGAGCATCCAAACGCAGGGCACCCCTGGAGCTGGGCATCCGCCGGCTGGTCCCCCCGCTTCCCTTGGATCCTGCCGGACGACCGATTTTTCCTATCGCTTTAGGTCCACTGACTGTCTACAGTCTGGGTGAGATCATCTCCGACCGTCCTGGTTTCCACACGGAAAATGCCATCTACCCGGTGGGGTACTGCAGTACCAGGGTTTTTGCCAGCACCCACAGGCCAACTCACCGCTGTCTCTACACCTGCCAGATCAAGGACGGGGGCACCGGGCCACACTTCGAAATTGCCCCTGAAGACGAACTGGGAGCTGTAATAACGGGGTCCACCCTGGATGTCTGCCATGCTCAGTTGTTGGAAGCAGTGGGTGCTGGCCAGCTTGAGCCAGCAGGGGCCGAATTCTTTGGGCTGTCACATCCCGCAATTCAACACCTCGTCCAGAGCTGCCCAGGCGCACACAAGTGTGCTGGGTACCGCTGGTGCCGCTTTGAGATCTGTCGCCCGAACGATGGACACCCTCCTGAGGGGCTGTCTCCAGGGAACCCGGGCATTGATTTTGAGGCATTCCAGAGTCAAGGTTTGGCCGGGTCTATGAATCTAGATTTCCCTGCAGCTTCTCCTTCTCCACCCTGCGGAAACGGCTACACTGAGCTTTTCCTGCCTTGTGCTACTTCGGCTGAGTCTCCCCTCCCTCCGAGTCCAGAAACTGACCCTGATTGAGAACAGCCAGAGGGCAGCTTTTAAGGTTGCATCATCCTTCCTTTCTAGCTCCTCTACAGGGAGAGCAGAGTTGCCTGATATCACTAGAATGGGCTTGATTAAAATTTTCAGAGTTTTTTTTCCCTTTACCTTTAGATTTATAGTGGCTCCAAGTACCCGCTTTATCTCTTAAGTTTTCCCCAGGATCAATAAGAATAGAAGTAATTTATAAACTATGTTAGGGGGATTAGGGCTTTTAAGGGGGGTTATGGAATTCTTCAAATCAGGGTTTATAAGTAAAGGGCTGAGATTACTTTTTGCAAAATTACCAATACTGTGGCTATATTTTGGAGGCAGCCACACTCATTTCCAGTTCACTTATTCTGGAGCAGTGTTTGTTCTGTAGAGGAATCTTGTCATTGGCTTGTCCCAAGTGGGAACCAGTCTGGCTTGTTGTACAGAAATCATGTGCTAAAGCCACACCTGCGCTCTGCCTGGACAAACAGGCTGTTGGCTTGTCCAGATGTAATCAGGAGCGAGGACTGCTACATAAGCGTAAGTTCCCTTCCAAATTGGCTACCCTCTATAGCAGGGGTGGGCAGCTATGGCCCCTTTATGACTGCAGCAAGCTCAGTAATTCTGGGAGTTGAAGTTCACAAAGTCATAAAAGGGCCATAGATGCCCACTCTTGTCCTACAAGTAATCCTCACTTAAAAACCCGAATCAGGACCGGAATTTCCATTGTTGAAAGATGTGGCTGTTAGGTGAAAGATTATATAACCACACCACTTAGCAATGGAATGTTCGATAGCCACAGTTGCACATCGTTAAGTGAGGACTGCACGCTTTTCCTGCCCTATTGTACTCGCCTCCATCTCATCTCCATCTACAATCTCATCCAAATCTTTGCCTTTTTGAGTATCCTGCGCTCTACTGCTGCCCCCAGCTTACCCCCATCTTCCTCCCACAGCTGATGATGTGTGCCTGACTTGGCCCTTTGCATTGCAACTGCTGGCGGAGCACAGGGGGAAGTGAAGCAGAGAACAGCCAAAAGGGCAAAGATGGGAGATAGGTGGATGGAATTAACTGAAGTGCACCCTGTGATCATATATGTAGGTGGCATGCCAAGTGCCCAAATTTTAATCATGTGACCACAGGGGTGCTGGAGTGGCCATAACTTCAAGGACCAGTCATAAGTATCATTCATTCAACATTATTGTAACTTTGAACTGTCATTGAAAAATGCTAAGTGAGGATCAGTAATATTTGTTTGTGACTTTCTAGCTAGTTAACGGTCTTGGGAATCCTATTTTAAGCCAATACATCCAGTGATATTGTAACATCTGAAGTTTGGGAAACCAAATAACTCTCCATGTTCTGATACTAGAAATTGAACCTTCATTTTGATCCCAATCAGCCAAAGGACTACTTGGGGACCGTATGAGATAACATGGAATGCATATAGCCTGTAGTTTACCAACCCTGGAATACAGCAGGACATGCCTGGGTAGAAAAAAACCCATCTCGCTATTAAATGAACACCTACTTTACTTGTTTAGTTTTCCTACAGCTGGGCTAGCAATTGGTTTCAAAATATTTCCATCATAGTCTCATTGAAAAGGTAATGTTAGATCACATCCTGTGTTTCATTTAGATATTAATACGTAGAATGTATAAGGAGTGTATTTCTGCTTTTACCCATAATCATCAAATGACTATTAAAGAAAAACAGTTTTTGTATATTGTGTTTATCCATGCTAATATTGTATTAAGATACCTTCTTGTTGTGATTGTGTAAATTCCCCTTCCTGTGCCATTTTGTAGTGCATGAATGTTAATAGATTAGCAATTAAATTGAAGTGTTGCTTTACTTTTTCTATTGTATACTAGAAAAAAGTATAATATTTCAGAGAAGAACAGGAGTATATCTATGCCAATATTGGAGAAACACTGTTGGTTATACAACTTCTAAATTCGCACACAACTGGCCTGTGTTATCTTGATCCCCCCCCCCCATTATTTTCTTAGTATATTAAAAAAAAAAGTGTCCATAAGCCTCAACTTTGCAACCTGTTTTATCCTAAGCCTTAAAATGTGCCTATGAAGAAAATTTGACAATGCATATGGAATTAGTAGAATATAAATACAAAAATAATGTCACTCATCTGATAATGAATTCTCCTTTTAAGGAAAGAATTTCTTTTCCCAATTTGTAATGCATAGGCCAGTGGTGGCGAACTTATGGCACGGCTGCCAGGGGCGGCACTCGGAGCCCTCCCTATGGGCACACGTGCCGTTGCCCCAGCCTCGCCTCCCCCCACAACCCCATCCTTACCAGCAGCCCCTCTGGAGGAGAATCGCCCCTGAGTGTGGCCCACATGGAGCAGCGCAGCCAAGGACATGGCAACCAGGCAGCATAGAGAAGACTCTGCCCTCACACCCCATCATGCAGTTGAGGCTGCAGAACGCAGAGGGCGTGGCCGCCATAGCGCTGCTGGGCTGCCTGAGCAATCTGCGGCGGGTCCTGGAGGCGGTAAGTGGTCCTGTGGGCAGGGGAGGCGGGGGGTGGAGCAGGGGCGGGGCCAGTTTTGAGCACTCAATCTCTAAAAGGTTCGCCATCACTGGCATAGGCTCATAATCCTATCTGTGCAAATCAATTGTGACATATGTAGATGTTTGTTTACAGACACCTTCATCAGCATTCATATATAGTCCTCAACGACCAGTTGCTTAGCAACTGTTTGAAGTTACAGTGGACACCCCAATTCTCAAAGGTACTTATGACATGGTTCTAAAGTTCTGGCAGCTGCTTCCCCCCCAAAAAAAACCCATCCCATGACTGCACATGGGGTGCTCAGTATATACAACTATTTGCAGTATCCCATTGTTATATGCCTACGTTTTACAACACTTTTGCCGAAAATCAGTACAATATTTTGGGCTTTCCTTAAAAATGGCCCACAGCAAACAATGTTAGTTTTACAACTGCTGCGTTCACCTGAGTGACACCAAAAAAAGTAAAACTGAGTCACTCACATGGGTGAACTGCTTTACAACCATCACGTCCTATGATTGTAATGGCAGGCTCTTATTATGGTCATAAGCCAAGGAGTACCTGTACACATCTGAGACAAGCCAGCTGCACAACTACAAAACACACTTTTTTCTCAAATTTGATAGAGCCATACACCAAATGACCTTTTAAAAAATATATGTGGATGCACAATTATCAATGTAAATAGACATTATTTGCATACCAACTTTCAGTTTCTGTATTAATATTTCTGAACAAATTGATCTAAGCCGGGGGAAAACAAAGTGATACTGATCCTAGCAACACAGATGTGAATTGCTGCTGAATGATTCTTCAGGACAAATGCTTTAATATGATTCAGAATGGCTATTTGGATGCATTTACTGTCCACCATGGAGGCATCCCAAAGGAGCAAAATATGTATCCAAACTGGTTCCATCACACATAAATTCAGGTGTGTACGGATGTGTGTGTGTAAAGATTTTTTACAAGCTTGCATGCTTGAAGAAGGCAGAATTATCTCCCAACAGCTCAGGAAAAATGGACTAAGAACGTATCCAGTTCTATCAAGATTACTGAACTTTCAGTTAACGTATCACTGTTGGCTTGGGAATTATCTGTTTGGATATGATTGGTTTGTTATATTGAGGTGCTAATGAGACAGCCACACTGTCCTCCAATGGAAGCTAGTAACCAATCCCAGATATTTCTGGGAGGAGTTGTCCAAGCTGTTTTGCTCCAGCACTTTTCTAGCATCCATATTTGGTACATGCCGTTGGGTTGTCTTCCGACAAGGAACTTGAAGAGCAGGGCAAAGAGGCACATGGACATGTCAGAAACATAGCAAACCTCATTTACCATTAATAGTCTTGGTTTGAATCAGGGAAAAATAATACCAGAATTTAGCTGGTAAGGCTTCAGTAGCTCCTGGAGGCATGCTGGTAAAACTATGCAATGTTGTTGTATACCCGAACAACATCTACGTGGTCTTCAAGGGCCTCTAGCAACCTTACGGCCATTTCTATCTCTGGGTCTGATAGCTGGGCATGGACAATTGGGATGAATTCAAGGCCAGCAGACAATGAACAAAGACCCAGCGACTCCAGTTTTTCACGTACTTGGTGCAAGGTGGACACAGAAGAAATAAACTAGAAGACAAAAGTGGAGAAGACAAAAGAAGGAAAAAATATAGTGTTAGAGCCAGTGCCTAGAAACCTAAAACGCCTGATCAAATCTAAAAGGTTCAAATAGTTATAACCATACCCTGGGATTCTCCAACAGTGGTGGGGTTGATTCTTTGGAAGACTAATCTGCAGGAGTCAAGGAATTTACATATTTAGATCACGGTTGTTGTTTACAACTTGTTCTTTGTCTAGACAAGGGGTAGGCAACCTTGGTTCTTTTATGACTTGTGGACTTCAACTCCCAGAATTCCTAAGCCAGCATGGCTCAGCTTGGAAACCTCTCCCTTTCCCCTCAGCATGGCTGGCTCAGGAATTCTGGGAGTTGAAGTCCATGAGTCATAAAAGAGCCAAGGTTGCCTACCCCTGGTCTAGACAGAGTCTAGTTCAGACTGAGCGCGAATGAATTCTGATAGAGCTTGGCAAGCACTTGGTGGAAATCAATGATCAGTTACCTGTTGGGTGGACATCCTGTCCAGGTGAGAGATTTCAGATTGCTACCTTGCAGGGATCCAGTCCTATATTCCTCTGGTATGCATCTCCATGGTGGGTTTGCTATCTTGGTGAGGTAAGGATGGGCAAGAGCCACAATGTATATAGGTAGTCCTTGACTTACAACTGATTGCTTAGTAACAGTCTGAAGTTATGATCTACTTGAAAAAGGGGACTTAGGACCTGTATCTGAAGTTCCAATGGTTGCTCCCCTGCCCTGTGGTCACATGAACTACATTTTATGACCATTTTGCTCCATTCAGCAAAAATAGTCTATAGCAGTGGTGGCGAACCTATGGCACATGTGCCAGAGGTGGCACTCAGAGCCCTCTCTGTGGGCACGCGCACCATGCCCCGGAGATGGCTACTGTCCCTCTGCCCGCTAACTCACCGAGGTCCCATGTTGCCGGATGCACCCAGCACCCATGCACTCACTAACCTGTGTGTGCAGTGGCTGATGGTGTCAGGCAGCAGCCACCCTGGCCCCTGCCTCACTTTGCCCTGTGACAATGGCACCCCCTGCCCTGCCTCACCTTGCCTCACCTCACAGAGTAGGACGAGCCTCCTACCCACCACCCCACCTGCCAGAGACCCCCTGGATCTCCCCCAACTCTGCCCGGCCCCCACAGGTGTCCTTCACCAGGAGCAACATCAAGGTGATCACACCCACCTTGGCCACACCCACCCAGTCTGCCATGACCACCACAGCCACGCCCACCCAATGGGCCACACCCACCTAGCACCCAGCAATAAATAAGTGGGTTTTGGGTTGCAGTTTGGGCACTCGGTCTCTAAAAGGTTTGCCATCACTGGTCTATAGCAAACAATGAGTTCATTTAACAACTGCAGTATTTGCTTAATGCAAAAAAAAAGTCATAAAATTTGGTGGGTCACATGACCAATCTGTTTTACAACCATTGATATTTACAACCTTAATGGGCAGGCTTCATTACAGTTGTAACTCAAGGACTACCTATAGTCTTACATATGGAACCATTTCTAAGCCATATGAAATTTTATCAATTGTACAAAAACACCCTTAACTCCAACTTATAATTCAGGGCAAGCAAGATTCTCTTGCCCCCCCCCCTACACACACACACACACACACACACACATTCATTTTTGTAATCCACAGTCCCCTCCCTGTACTGCCATTGAAACTCAGCGTCAAGCCAATGATTTTGTTATAAAGACTCCACAGCTTGAGCTCAACCCTAGCTACAATGGACATTATGGGCAATATTCTCAGAAATTACAGGGAATTTACCATTTTTTTCACTTAAGAGTCCCCCCCTCCTTTCCTCAGTCTACAGTCTTGGGATTTTTCTGGTGATCTCCCATTCAAGTATAAATTCAGCCCAAACCGTGTAAGCTTTGTGAATTTGTTAAACGTTTGTCTTCACCTTCTAGCTGGGTCAACCAATTGGGGTGCAACATTTTTTAATTTATTTTTTTTGAGAGTGGAAATGTGTGCTGCTTCCTTTGCTGAATTTAAACCCATCCTTTCAACTCACCCTGAACACCACCTTCTCATCCTCCTCTTCCTCTTCTTGGACATCTTCAGCTCCAGCTTCAATTGCCAAGTCAAGTGCCTGATCCAAGCTGACAGGACTGCCGGATTTGTCTTCCTTGCTGACAATCACAACCCCCTTTTTTTCAAAATGATTGTGAATCCCTTCAGCAATGCTCCCCCTGCAAGGAACCAAGTCGTTAGCCCAGTGATGGCGAAACTTTTAGAGACTGAGTGCCCCAAAACTGACCTGCGCCACCCCCCGCCCCACCCCCACCCTGCCTGCCCGCAGGGCCACTCACCGCTTCCAGGGCCTGCTGCAGATCGCCCAGCAGCACCATGGTGGCCATGCCCTCTGCCCGCACCCCACAGCATCAACTGTGCACGATGGGGCGTGAGGACAGAGTCTTGTCTATTCTGTCTGGCTGCCATGTCCTTGGCTGCACTGCTCTGCGTGGGCCACACTCGGGGGCGACTCTCCTCTGGGGGGCTGCAGGTGAGGAGGAGGTCATGGGGGAGGCAAGGCTGAGGCAACGACACGTCTGCCCACAGAGAGGGCTCCGAATGCCGCCTCTGGCACCCGTGCCATAGATTCACCACCACTGCTTTAGCTTATGACAGTGATGGCGAACCTTTTAGAGACCAAGTGCCCAAAACTAGCCCCGCTCCTGCCCCCTGCCCGCCCTACCCCCGCCCGCCCATAGGGCCACTCACTGCCTCCACAGGCGACTCTCCTCCCAGGGAGCTACTGGTGAGGGGGCTGGGGCGATGGCGCACGTGCCCACAGAGAGAGCTCTGAGTGCCACCACTGGCACGCATGCCATAGGTTCGCCAGCACTGGCCTAAGACTTATTAAGCAGTGGCTTGCTAGAACTTCTGCAGTCTCTGATGTGAAAGGACTACAAATCTCCATTAAACTTCCACACACCCCTCCTATCTCTTGCAAACTAGCCAGCCAACACTCCTTAGGTTCCACTAACCCATTTTTGTTTAAAAGATGTCGGATTTCATTGGAAGTCCTCTTTAAGTTGTCTGTCAGTATTTCGACATAGAATGATGAACCACCTGGACCTCGGATGCTGCAGAAGTGATAGATGGATTTCATCTTTTCCTGCCAAAGAAATTAATAATGGTAACCATCAGCAAACCACATAACCTTCCCCATCATTTCAAGTATCAAGCATATTGTCCTCAGCTGCCCCTTTAAAGCAATTTAACAAAAGCGGGAACCAAATGCATTTGTTTATTTATTTAAAAGATTTGTGTGGCCACCTATCTTAAACACAACTCTGGGCGACTCACAACAATGAAAGCAGTAACTACAAAATCATAGAACCATAAAAACAAGAATGCAGCGCTTAAGTCAGGGGTCTTCAAACTTGCCCCTTTTACGACTTGTGGACTTCAACTCCCAGAATTCCTCAGCCAGGCACACTGGCTGAGGAATTCTGGGAGTTGAAGTTCACAAGTCGTAAAAGGGCCAAGTTTGAAGACCCCTGACTTAAGTCATCTCCTTGAGATGCTCCACAACCAATCTAAATATCCTCCTTCTATCCTAGCATCTGGGTAACAAGCCAGCTCTTGGTAGCATACCAAAAAGCTAAAAAAGGGCTGCCAAATCACCAGAGGGAGAGTGTTCCATAAGGTAGTGTAGCCATGGAAAAGGTACCCTTCTGAAGTGCTACTAGATGACAAGATTTCAGGGAAGGACCGGGAACATGCCTACCTATCTGATATGGTAGGATAGGCAGGTATTCTAACGAGGAGGTAGTCCTGCAAGTATCGGGGTCTTATTCCATGAAGGGTTTTAAAAGTGATAATCAACACTTTGAATTGTACCTGGAAGGAAGCTGTGAGCCGGTACAGCTCAAACAACAGAGATGTAATATGGCCCAACCTAAGGAACACCTAATTCAGCACATGCTACTGTTGTAGCTTCCAAGTGGTCTTCAAGTGTTCAATGCATCCCTTAAAAATGTATTCCTTAAAGATATTTCTAAGTTGCTTTTCTGCTGTACAAACTCCACAAAGGAATTTAAAACCGAACAGCAATAAAAATCACAAAATAGAGACCAAAAGCTGGCTGGTCCTAATAACTGTTTTGCCCCAAATAGATGCAACGTTTCCCTTTTTTGCTACTATTATTGGCTCACCAAGGAGTCAGCAGGGACATTCAGAGGGAAGGGTGTGGAGGAAGGTACATTTGTTGTGATATCGTGGAGCAAATAACACAAATCATGCCTTGTATTCTGATCTAGGTATATAAGTCTTATCTTGTCAATGATGTCATGTGGCTTTATCAACAGGATGACACCACCATCATTTTGGCATTGTCATAGCTTGTACTGTACATCTTTGGCTATAGCCATCCCTTTATGTTGACCCTCCCAATGACTCAGAAACCTACCGCGCCAGAGATGGCTGTTTCAATAGAGTTTTTTGGCATATTCTTCCTTCGACACACCTCAATAATGTTGGCTAAATTAGTGTTAAGATGTGGGTTGGGTCCTCCTTCTGAAAAGGCAACGCAGAAAGAGATGGCCGATCATTATCATTAGCTTAAGAAGCACTACACTACATTTTAGGAAACTGGAAATAAAAGAGAATTTTGTTCAGTTAGTGTAGGAGTAGGCAACAGTCCACAAGTCATAAAAAAGCCAAGGTTGCCTACCCCTGAGTTAGTGCAAGAAAGCTGAGTTCAACTATACATAATTAAGGATGCGCACACCATGGTTTCTTCCAAATGTTGTAATTAAGGAAAGGAGAGAACATTCAGGATCCAGCCTAGTTTTAAATGCAAAATGTCTTCTATTAAATCTGAAGAGCTCATTTGCAAATAGGGAGCAACATGTTTCACGGCTCCAGTTTATTAATTTTACATCCCATTTTTATTATTTTTATAAATAAGTCAAGGCAGCAAACAGAAACAATACTCCTTTCTCCTCCTATTTTCCTCACAACAACCCTGATGAGATGGGTTGGGCTAAGAGAAAGTGACCAGCCCAAAGTCATCCAGCTGGTTTTCGTCCTAGTTTCTAGCCTGTGCCTTAATCACTAGATCAAACTGTTCGGTCACTGTCTCATCCTACCCATCTTGGCAGAAAGGACTGTTCTGCTCACCAGAAAACAGGGATATGTCACAATCTTGTCTTTTCTGCAAGTCCCTCACTTCAGACAAGTTAGCACAAGAACCACACCTAGCTAACAAAGGTTTGTCCAACCATTATTGCTTGGAATATGATTTTCCATATGGTAAATCACAAATCACAAATGGCTGGATTCACACAACACATTGAGCTAACATCAAAACCAACCACATTATGGCTTCATGTCATATTGTGGCTTAGCCACAGCTGTCCTTAGGAGTCTTCACTTTGATTGTAAAAAAAGCCAATGAAATATTGGATCCGTACCCCTCACAGCAAAACGGATCATCATGGTAAGTTTTTGGAAGACCAAGGAACGTGCAATATCTTTAGGACCCTTAATATGTCTGACTTTGGACCACTTGTTGTGTCCAGCAAGTGTGGCACTGGAGGCATGGATGGCACAACTGGGATGATGGAAAAGCATCAAACGGGGTGGTCGAAGTAGAAGGCTCAGCCGTGTGTAAATGCAGCCCACGGACATGACTTTGGATTGGTTACAGACCTTGGAACAAAAGAGAATATGAAAGAAAATTACCATGGAGACATTTTGAAGAACATATAATCTACATATAAACATGGTGGCAGTGTCCTATTAAGTCAATCCTAATTCTTGGTTACCATAGGAACAAATCCATACAGGTTTCTTAATGACATTTTCAGAAGGGGCATGCCATTTAGTTTTTTTTAAAATATGTTTTATTGATTTTTAACATAATCACCTTAATATCTGGTAAACGCCGTGTTGTTTGGGTTAGTATTTACAAAACAATCAATAACAATTAATTTCTATAATTCTATAGTCCATATAATGGCTTTGCTTGATTTTCTCTTCTTCCAATAATATTTTCTTTTGCCAATCTTAAATTAATACATTTCTTATTATTTGAATAAATGACAATTAAATATAGACATTTTTTTCATGTTTCTGCAAATAATAACCTCATCAATATAAAGCTTCTTTTCTAATTGATTATCTTGATTGTATGTCATAGATCCTGTTTACAAAATTCTTATTTAAATTTGTTTTCCCAATATCCAAAGCATTCTTATTAAGATTTTCTCCAAATTACACTTAAGTATTTAAGTCTTTTTTCTCATACAAGCCATCCTAACACTTTTACATTTCTCATATCTTAAAAAAAAGAAAAAAAAAGAAAACATTTCTTTTATATAAACCAGTGGTTCTCAACCTTTCTAATGCCGTGACCCCATAATACAGTTCCCCATGTTGTGGTGACCCCCAAGTGGGTGTGGCCACCAATAAGAGGGAGTAGGACAGCTGGGGAAAAGGGAAAAAAATGGCGGACAGCGTGGTTTGGCGACCCCCGTGAAATAGTTGTTCGACCCCAAATGGGGTCCCGACCCACAGGTTGAGAACCACTGATATAAACCATCCCAACATTTTTATATTTGTCATGTCAAAAAACAAAAGAAAAAAGAAAGAAAAAATACTGTATTACTTGAGAAGTTCATTCCTCTTAAACTAATCTTCATTTATATCCAAAATCTTTCTATTTCTTTAACCATATTCAAACAGATGTTTAATTTTTAAATATTCCCTCTGGTAAATCCCATCATCTAATTTCTTAATTCTCACTTTAGCCTTTTTTTTTTTAGTTTTTTTTTTTTTTTAGCTTTTCGTTTGGTTAACACAGTGTTTCTCAACCTTGACAATTTTAAGGCATGTGGACTTCAACTCCCAGAATTCCACAGCCAGCATTGCTGGCTGTGGAATTCTAGGAGTTGAAGTCCACATGCCTTAAAATTGTCAAGGTTGGGAAACACTGGTAACAACTGATCCAAGGTCACCCTGCTGACTTTCATAGCTAGGTCAGGACTAGAACTCAACTCTCCCAGCTTGGAATCCCGCCCCTTGAACTCCTTTACCAAAACGTTTTCCAAAAACAGATCCACACCACAAAAATGGTTCAGTTGGAGTGGGATAATTACAGCTAACCTCCCCAAAAGATATACCCACGTGTATAGTTTATCTGAACATTTCAGAAATGCTAGGGTAAATTCTGGAGTTCCCCCTCCCACGCCAAACAGTAAAACAGCAAAGTATAAAACAACCAAACCTAATGATCTATTTATTATGTCCAAAGTGTTAGGAATAGCATAGCTATCAAAATAGCACCAAAATAAGGTCCAAATCCTTATTTTAAAAAAAACGGATTATACTTCCAAGGACCCTTTTCTTGTTATATTGATTCGTTGTTTTGCTCTTTATTTCGCACGTACAGGATACTGTCTACAAAACAAGCCACGCTCCCCGTTTCGATATTTACCCTTCTTATGGTAATGGCATAAACCTGCCTGCCCTAACCTTGGTTTCAGAATGCCCGAGAGAGTCGGGGAAGACAGCTTACACGGCGATCCTAAATATATGCGGAAAGACTTAAGTGTCAGAGAACGTCGGGATGGGGCCTTCCATCATTTGCTGCAATTAACCCATTACTCCGCCCTCTCCATCCGCTCCCCCCTACCTACCCAGGGGTAACTTTGGAATAAAATCCCAGAATTCTGCAGAATCCTTCCACTAAAAGCTCCGCCCTGTTGGGGGGAAGAGCCTGAAATTAACTCTTTCTTCTCGGCAAATCAATTTTCCAATGCCAATTATTTTTCTCCTTTATTATTTCAATGGACACTTACTTCCCAGTCCTTCACTCAGAAAGATTCCTTGAGCCGCTTTGCAAAGACCAGCTTTCCTTGTATTGAAGCTTAAGGATACGAGACACAAGGAAAAAGATCGGAAGGGAAGAGGAAAACGAATAATTTCGTGGCTGAAGTCACTTCCGGACTTAAGCAGCACGAGCAAGTGAATGTCTGCGCATGTGCAGAATCCTCCACCGCTTAAGTATTTCACCACTAACTAGCAATGGAAATAGGCCCAGTAATAATAAGTGGCGTCTGCTCAGTTGCTCCAATGAATAAAAATCTTTCTTGGAAAAAGAAGGCTAGTCCTGCACGACAGTTTCCTCTAATTGCAACCTTGTGCATAGGAGTAGGCAATCGGCTGTCGTCAGAGGATTTGGATTGCAATTCCCATAGCATCTGACAAAAGGAAATGCCGGATGGGGATTATTGAAAATTACGGCTCCTCTGTGATATCTGTGCAGTGAATGATATGGCATTAATGAGCAAATTTCCAAATGGAGGTTGCTCAGGGCAACGCTGGACTGGATGATATGCAAAGTGCAAGAATTAAGTTTTTTTTTTTGCTCCGGAGATATTATTCTGCTTTCCCCCCCCCCTAATTTAATATTTCTTTAAATTGGCTTCCCAGTACATTTTTCGTACCTTTTCTGCCTCAAAATGTCATGAAATGCCACATTACTAATTTTGGGACACTTTTAAAGGGTGCAAAAAACACATTAAGAAGCCACAAAGGCTGTGCAAGAATAGTCTTTTAATGACAGGCTAAGCATCACTTTTCAGAATCACAAATGAAAACATTTGCTTATCCTTTGCTTAAAAATCTGTTTCTCAACCTTGACAGCTTTAAGCTCTGTGGATTTAAACTCCCATAATTCCCCAACCAGCATGCTGGGGTTATTGGCCTCCAAGTTGCACCTGTCATTCTATTTGAAGTCTTTGGTTTAATTGAAATATGGTAAATCAATAAGATTGCAAAGATTTTTTTCCCAGAATTGGAAGGGATCTTGGAGGTCTTCCGGTCTAATCTCCTGCTCAGGCAGAAAATCCTGGCCTATACCATTTTATACAAATGGCTGTCCAGTCTCTTTTTAAAAGCCTCCAGGGATAAAGCATCCACAACTTCTGAAGGCAAGCCATTCCACTGATTAATTGTTCTAACTGTCAGGAAATTTCTCCTTAGCCCTAGGTTGGTTCTCTCATTGATTAGTTTCCATCTATTGCTTCTTTTCTTGCTTTCTGGTGTTTTGGAAAATAGGTTGATCCCCTTTTCTTTGTGGCAGCCTCTCAAATATTGGAAGACTGCTATCACGTCACCCTGGTCGTTCTTTTCACTAGACTAGACATACCTAATTCCTGCAACAGTTCTTCATATGTTTTGGCCCCTAATACTCTTTTCTGCACTCTTTCCAGAGTCTCAACATCTTTTTTATAATTGATGACCAAAACTGGATACAGTATTCAGTTTCCACCAATGCATTTCATACAAACCTGTTACATAATTTTCACTCCTCATTTTTTAGAATAGAAGAATGGAGAAGGCTCTTAATTATTTCATGGATTATCTCTGATTACAGGCAATAGAAACTAATTTGGGATGTGTCTGATATTTGTGCTAGCAATCTTTTTCCATTAAATTAATTATTTTGCAATAAATTCTCAACTGGTACATGTATCTAGCCACTGATATAATATCTGTGCTTAATTTTGTTATGCTTCATCTCTAATTCTCAGGTCAGAAATGTTAGTAACTTAATATACTTTCTGAGTTCAGAGTTTGCTTTTTAATCTAAAAAGCAGGCTCATTACTTGTCCCAAACAACATAGCTACTGAGAATCATCTAGTCAGAACTATTAAGCCATACAGTTGTCGTCTAGGAATATTCTACTAAAGAACACATCATTGTAGAAATCACAGTAAGAATATGTTTCATGTTTTTCTTACAAGTTGCATTTTTTTTCTATGTGCAAAACAATGGGAGGGGGGATGAACCTTCAAGTATAATACACAGAAAAAAATATATTTACAAAAGCTACAGTGAACAAAATGAAAAAGTATAACTGAATTTTACTTATTGGATTTGCAGCATGAATTGCAATAGGCTAATCTATGACTAGTTGAACCATGTTTTACTGAGTTTTTTTCAGTTGCTTTGATTCACACATCACATTGCACTGTAAAGTACTGTATTGTACTAAAATACTGTAACTATTATAAGCTAAATATATTCAGCACATTGAGCCACAAAGTAGCCAAGCACATTTTAGAAAGTATATTTGAACTCCCAACCTCAATTAAAAGCAGCATTACATTTGCACCATCCTGAATTCTGGATGGTAAAGTAATTCTGTTCTCTAAATTTGGCTACTGGCTATTTTCTTGGATTTGGGGGTGGTAAACCTTGCTACTTTTTTTACCTGGATAAGATTCTACTTGACAGCCAGATGTCTTTCAGGAGTATAATATGCACATCACCTTTCTGAAATTCCCAATCTGAACCTGCAGCTCTAAATGTTGCTTGTAGAAATGAAATTTCAAAAGGTGGTGGAAAAACCTGCTTTGTATCTATATCTTTGTTTCTATAGAACACTATTTAAGGACCTGGCAAACTATCCATCTATGTACACAATGCACAAACACATTTATGTGAACACTGGCAGTTGCATAACTGAGTAAAACAGAAAGCATAAATTAATTATAAGGTTTATAAAACCAAAAATTATTAATAGATGGGTTACTGTGCAAAAAGCTTAATTTATCTATTAACAGACATGGAAAAGTGTGCATATATTCTATCTTAGTGTTTCTTAATGTTTGGATAAGACTGGAGTAATTGAATTATTGATGTGGTTCAAATGGAAAGTATTTGTGTGGTTACAGTACTTTGTCTGTTAAGCAACTACGTGTAGCTTCAGTTAGTAACTGTGGCAAGTAGCTATGCCATTTCCATTAGAAGTGAAAAATATTAACAGAAAAAAAACCCCATTGAAATCCCTCATATATCGAGCTCATTCATAACATATGATGTTGGTGGGGCAAACACACCTAACAGAAATTTAGTGTAGAAAGCAAGGAAGGTGATGCTGATAGAGATATGTAGGAACTGTTACGTAAATAAAAATGGGTGGAAGAATTTTTAAATCTGGAACAGTCAGATGACATTCAGAAGTGATTCAGGCAGACATTTCCCTAATTCACTGAACTATAAGGAAGAAGGGGAGAACCAGCACCATCAGACTTGCAAGACTATGTTATTGTAGCCAATCTCAATAAAAGCAGTTTTAGCCAGCCTGTGGAATTGATTACCTGGTCTGGTCCATCTCGGCCAACACATTTAATAATTAAAATGAATTTTAGAACAATGCTGGGGAGTCTGCAGACTGTGGTTAAAAAAAAAAACCTCAAAATAGTACCCAACATTGGAAAAATGAAAATTTACCAGCTGAAGAAGTACTAATTAAGACAATTTTAGAGTGTGCAGAAATGGATAGATTGACTTTAAAGATAAAAGAGAAAGAAGACTCAGTATATTTTAAAACATGGGATAATTTCTATCAATGGCTAGAAAAATGAGTTAGAAAGGAATGTGATATGTAACTTTGAATATATATTAGCAAGAAGAAGACTATTGAGCAATTAATTAACATATTTATGATAATTAACTATTATCTATTCTTGTTTGATAAACACATGAACCCAGACATTATGCTGTTTGCTAAATATTGATAATGTTATTTGGAAAAACCCCAACCCCAACCCCGACCCCACCTTATTCCTAACCCTATAAAAACAAATAAAATTTAAGCAGGAAAACTCAAAATAGCAGACATGAGGATGCAACTGAACCTCCATCTGTTTTTATGTATGTTGTGTAAAAACACAAGAGAAGTACATGTAACACACATTAAAAAATGAATGAAATTTCAATCACATCTTTGTGGCCACCATTCTGACTTTGGTATCAACCCTGTCAAATTATTTGCGATAAAACGATCCATTCATCTATTGTGATGTAAAAGAGATTAAAGGTGTACTTTCTGGAGAGCAGATTGTGGTACAGAAACAAAACAAGCTCAGGGCTATTGTATTTCTCTCTACATTTGATGAGAGGGATTTGCAAGTTAGAAGCAATATACAAAGAGTGATTACAACTCATTTACTAGGTTAAAAAAAACAAAAAATCTGTAAACATTGCTTTCTGAAAGAACTTAAGATAATATAGGTAGTCTTCAACTTATGACAGTTCAGTGACTGTTCTAAGTTATGACAACACTGAAAAAAGTGACTTAGAGCTGGTCTTTGCACCTACAATAGTCACAGCATCCCCACAGTTACTGGATCAAAATCTCAGCTCTTGGCAACCAGCATGTATTTATGATGGTTGCAGCATCCTGGGGCCACATGATTATCATTTGCGACCTTCTCAATTTATTTACAACAAGCAACATCAATGGGGGAAGCCAGATTTGCAGAATAACTGCATGATTTGTTTAACAGCTATAGTGATTTGCTTAACAATCCTGGCAAAATGATTGTAAAATCAGGCATGACTCATTTAACTGCCTTGCTTAGCAAAAAAAAAAAAAAAAAATTCTGGTCCCAACTGTGGGCATAAGTTGAGGGCTCTTCTGTCCTGCACAGCCAAAATTTGCTTTCCAAGCAGCAGGGCTAAGAAAGGCCTTCCCACAGGATCGGAAGAAAACTTACCCAGTAGTGTCTGCACCTATTCCAAAATCAATTCTTTTCAAAGGCACTGAAATGGGGAGTGTTTTTTTGCTTACAGGCAGACAGTACATTTACCGCGGAAATGAGCTTTCACGATTCAGGCTTCAAAAGCGATGATTGTGATAGATGTAACTGATTTTTTAAAATGTATGTTGTTTACTGCGGTACTCTACACCTAGGAAGATTTTTTATTTTATGTTACGCATACTTCCAGCCAAGTCACTAAACAATGGGTGGCAGCCTTAGGACCTTAGGAACAACATGGCACAAACTTCTGCAAATGTTGTCCCAGATTCTCCAATAAACTGCAATCTTTAAGCCCCTTTAAGGAAAAGGTGGAAGAGACAGGATCAGAAAAAGGAAAGAAGGCGAGGTTGTCGTGCATCGTTCGCTCCCTAGAGACTAAAATAGACTTTCTGAAACTTGA